ACTTTGGTTCAGGAATATAAACTATTATTTACGAAAATTATTCACTGATGTGTAAAATTTACTCTCATTATAGTCATCGTAACACTGCCAACGTTATCATCAGTAGGCCTATCGTCGTAATCATCGTCCTTATCGACGTCACCATCAAAATTGTCGTTCATTAATTTCAAATAAATAAACATTTTAAATTTGTTTCGAAGTAGGCAAACAAAACATAGATCTTGTATATTTTGAACAAATATGAGCTATTTTTAATACCCACCGGAGGGTACAATGCGCTTTTAAAAAGAAGTGACTCAGTACACAAAGCAATAACACGTTGATACAATTAGGCGTACAAGTTATAAAATACAGCCATTATAAAATACATCCATTATATAATATTATTAATGATGTACGAATCAGAAGTTAATGGATCTAAATTGCCCTTCTCGTGTTTTCCTATTTTTCGAAATGCAGACAGATAGACAATCTCATGATCAGAGTGACGAATTCATGTTTTGGAAGTAGGGTCCAGCGGATTGACACTAGGGGGAGGCTAGCTCCCCACCCACATCAGTTCCGCCGAAAAATTAAAAAAAAAAAGAGGGAGAAAAAAATTGATAAGAGGAAAAACAAAAGTGTACCCACGATATCAGTGGCAGACCTAGCAATGGGTGCAATGAGAGCTCGATTATTTTACCACTATACTATTTTAAATTTTGAATTTTCTATTGATTGACGACTAACACAACGTTATATCCCCGACGCTGATTTTCCAAGGATTTCATATATCATCAGGGTGTACAAAAAAAGCCAAAGACGAATTAGTACGGTTACCTTGGTACGGTAGGGAATTTACTACCCAGCTAGAACAGTCTACCTATGCTCAGTGGCGTAACGCAAGTGGTGCTCTGCTGCCACCCCCACCCCCACCCACTTAAAATTGTCACAAATTTTTAAAAATGGAGATAAAATATTCAAATTTTTAAGTCTGAAAGAGTGCCAATTCCGTGCTATAATAATAATAATTTGTTTTTCGACTCCAGTACAGAATATAATACAGGTCCTTTATTAGACATTTTGCGACGCCCGTGAGGGGAGGTTGTTTGAGATAGGGAAGTATTATAGCTCCCGTCAGGAAGAACTCAATAATTTTTGAGGAGGAACATTGCTTTCACAAAAGCATTTTTACAATATGAGAGTGCCATTTCCGAGCGTCTAGAGAAATTTATTCTTATAATTTGCTCACTTGAGGGTGTCGCCTAACTTCACCTCCCCCTCCCTCCGGTTCCGCCCTTGGGAAGAGGGTGGAACCGGGAGAGAAGACAAATTAAAGGGAGGGTCCAGATTTCCCCAGCCACAATAGTTGGAGCTGTAGCACGGAATATGGCCATGGCACCTCCTGTACAGCCTTGTATAGAGATTGCTGTATTATGTGCCTTATAAATCCATTGTTTGACTTTGTGTTATTTTATGATTTTTCCCTAGCTATCTTTAAATCTTAAAAGGAGTGTTTTGTACTTGACGTGTAAAATTAACTCTCATCAATAATCAGCCAACAATCATCATCACCGTCGTCGTAATTATCCAAGTAGTCTTTATTGCTGTCGTTATCAACATTGTGTCGGTCATTAATTTCAATTTCAATTAAATCAACTACCGCAATGTTTTCATAAAAATCATATCACGTATCGTACGTAATGCATCATTGTATCGGGGATAATACAATTACCTGCCTGCTCCTACACCATCATATTAGTTCATAACCCTTAAATATTATTTAAACTTTCTAAACAAAAATAAAAACTAAAGACGAAAGACTAACCATTAATTTAATGTAATTCTCACTGGAAGTTAAAAATCATTAAATAAGAAATTCAATATTTTAGTTGGAATTTTCATGAGTCTCTGAAACAGACAAAATGACTTTATTTCTGTAGAGGGCAGTATTACTATTAGACTTCGCACGTATAATTTTCAGAGTTTACGCATGTGTTGATGATCGGAGCAATCGGAGGAGGAGGAGGAGGAGCAGAACCCCATCCTCTGCCTAAGATTGTAAGGAGGAATATTTAGCATAGCTAGGCTTCGCCCGGGTCCCTAACTACGTACTGTAAACGTAACACGTACAATAAACAAGGAGTCATTTTGTTTATTTGATAATCTTTTTCTTGGCCTCTCAGTAGGAGCCTGGCCTACCGTACTAGGCCCTAAGTAGTATGGTAGGAAGGTAGGCTCTAGGCTATTTTGCTAGGCTTGGCAAAAACCAAGAAACTAATGAAAACTAGGTAGTAGTATTAGTCTAGAGTAGTGGTCTACACTAATTTTAAGGGCCTACTTCTTTTTTTACTTTTTCTTTTTCATTTCCTTCACATCCAACAGCAAGTACACTCGCCACTTACAGGATGAGAATGATGCTTTATAAACTAAGTCACTTTATGAGGCTTATTAGGGAGTGGAGTTGTTTTTGGTCGGGAGCAAAATTCCTGCCGTGACAGGAATTTAACCCAGGACATTGGGATCAGAAGGCAGGCATCTTAACCACTGAGCTGTTCAACTCCCAAATCCAAGTACTACAGTACTTTTGCAAGGCTCGGTCTCTCTAGGGCCTAGCCCCCCCCCCCCACCTCAAGGTTTGGTCCAAGCTACAACCGATGCGCCAACCGCTTCTACAAAAATAACATAACATTACCGTTATTTTGACTGCCAATGTCATATTATTGTGGTCTATTCTAAGCCATAAAAACTCACTTCATGCATCGTACAAGGTGGGAGGTTTTATTCTGGGCCGAGGCTTCATTGGCGCTTGCTTGTCTCAGACCTTCGTTAGACCGGTTGTCGACAAATCTCTGGCGTCACCGCTGAGTCTAGGCCTATCCTAATGTAGTAACATGAAAATGTTTAAAGTTATATTTATAGCTAAGCATTTGGTCAAGAGCATTGTCCCTGCTTCTTGCACTGTAGACCCTTAGTCAGGTTTTAAATGAAGTCAGATTGCTCTTCTCCTTGAACAATCCTCGCGTGAGAATTAGATATGTTGGTACTGGCATTGCACTGTGGCTACCGTGGGTTCTTAGGGACCCAGCCAAAATTTCGAATTTCAAATATTTTTAATTTGATAAAAATGGAAAATTTAATCATTTAAAAAAATTTTATATTCTTAAATGTGTATATTGGAGTGATAAGAATGATGGTGTTTTTGTTAATGTATTTGGTAATAATTAATAAAATGTTTATAAATTCTTTTTTAAACAGGTAATTAACAATTATGTTAATGTCATGATGATTGCATTCAAAGTAAAGGCTCTAATTTGCCAGGTGAAGATCAATCATTTAAAAAGACATCTACTGCTTGCAACAACGAATCACAGATGCAGACACACAAAGAGTAATTCATATAAACTACTCAGTTACAGGCCACCTGATTGGGCAAGCCACCTTCAAATGATTCCATTAGTGAAAGTTAAGGTAGGAAAAATGTATTAATCAGTCAATTTTTAAAAGCTGATCAAAAGCTAGAAATTACTGTATAGAGCAAGAGATTAAAATCACTTGGGCAAAATACTGATTAATAGCAAAAGGAAACAAATATTAGATTTCTAAGATGGTGACTGACAGGTGAGTTTAAACTATACTAAGAGAGAAGAGCCAGTCAGTCATAAAGAAAGATATATTATACAAATATTTAAATAAAATTTGATATTTGTAAGAGCAATCATGTGAAAATCAAGGCTTATTCCAAAAATCCAATAATGTCAAACTAAAAGTCTTAATTGTAGTTAGAACTGCGCATTTTCGGATCTAAGGTCAGTCGTGTTCATTTGATATTGAAAGCTATGTTGTGTGGATGGTGTTTTTAATATGTCGATTGAACTATGAGCATTCGCAATTGTAAACTATGAATTAGCTTATTGGCAACTGTATGCACTTTTTTGAGTTTTTTCTAGTTCATGTAAGATTTATTGATTCAATGGTAGATTGGTTATTACAGTAAGATGCTTGCAGTAATGATTATTTTTTTTGTATAGTAGAACTCCTGCTTTAGGGCACTCTTATTAATATTAAAGGGAAACTTTTTTGCAAAATGTCTTTTAACTCTACAGCCAACCTCTATTACGAGGAAGTGCTTATTAAAAAGGTGGGAATACAGTAGGTTTGCCAGATGACCAATTCAAACTCATTCAGTTCCTGTGGAACAAATTCAATTGTTAAGATCAAAATAATATTTTCAAAATATTTCTCACAATTTAAAATTTTATATCAGTTTATGTACGTAAATCTACAGACTTTTCAAATGCATACACTATAGATAGCACTTAGTTGCCAGTTACCCCATTAATGTACTCAATGGGGTAAATAAATGTTTTTTAGCTTTTTCAGCCATTTACACCTATTCATAAATGGAGTCTTCCAAATATATCAGATGATATTGATATTTATATCAAGCGAGATGACATGACTGGATCTGTTTTATCAGGTAACAAGGTTAGATGTCTAATACCTGTCTCTTATACACATCTAGATGTGTATAAGAGACAGCTGTATGTCAGTCAGTTCGTATGCGTTGATCGGAGGAGATTCGCCCACACAAACGTACAAAGGTACAAACCCCATCCACACACGTCACTGGCTGCGCGATAGAAGGAAGGATGTAG